GGTTTTCCTTAGTTTTAATGGGATAGATCTAGAAATCAATTCCTAATGTTGCCCTGTGCAGTAAGTAGCTTATGTTATTAATTCTGGCAGGGGTTTCACAGACATAGGTCCAACATTGAGCCATTTGAGGGCAGGGTCCTGTACTCCCCCCAGATCTTTAGGAAAATCAGCAGTCTCTCCAGATGGTGATCCTCATTCCTGGGGCAGTGAGTACTCCCCAGCCTTGAAGCCCTTGGACATGGTGGACCACTGGAAACAATAACGGGCTGTGAATAAGGGAATAGCAGTGGTGAAATGTGTTAACCTAGGCCCAGTGTTTGTACAGCTATGTGATCCATCCATTTTACTTGTTTGTAAAATGTAAGTAACAAAAGAATCAGAGGGAGAATCCCAGTCCATCTTCTGCAAGGCTGTTTGCCCTGCAGTCCTTACAGGAGGAGAGACAAAGGGGACGATAGAACATTTTCCTTTTCTGCCTTAAATCTCAGCCATCATCCCTTTTTGTTTGTCCATGCTAGCTCCCATTTTGCTTCCCTGTCCCCTTCATGACCAAGTGATTTTTTTAGCAAGTGACAGTGATCCTCTCTCAACTGTTGCACACAGAGCATTAACCTGGTCGCAAGACAAGACACAATTTGCCTTGAATCCTTTCACCTTGTCCCCCCAGAGCTGTATCTTTTCCCATCCTCTGTCAGCTCCATCCACATGCTCTTCCCTTAACCTCACTCTGGCTGCCTCTCTGGTTCTGCTGATCACATAGGGCTTATCTACATAGGTCTGTAATTCTCACCTCCATCCCAGTAACTCTGCCGTGGGGTTTCCTGGGTGTTGATGTCTGACCTGACCTTTTGGTTTGCTTTGACTCTGCTGTTCCACTTTCTCATTTTGCAGGTGTGGGAAGTGGCCAGACCTTACATTGAAAAGTACAGGAGGGAACACATCCCTGAATCGAGACCCAATTCACCAACAGCCTTCTCCCTGGGATTGCTGGAAACAAATGCAGGTGTTGGTCATGACCATGGGCATCAGGAGGAACTTTAAGAGTTGTGATCCTCTGGTACAGAGCAGATCCTTTCCAGGACCTTGCCTAAGGGTGGCCATTCAACCAGAAATCAACTTGGTTTCTCCAAGTGACCCAAAGGACCTGACTGTCTATCTCAGGAGCACCTACAGATAGTAGAGAAATGGCTCACTACTTTCCTCACATGCAAAAGACAGCTTTGTCACGATAGTGTGGTTTTGGATGAATTTCCTGAGCTTCCCCACACATAACATTCAGACTCTGGCTGAAGCTAGTGAATGTTTTATAGAGTCACCTGTATTTGTTTTGTCAGCTCTTCACTTGTTTTCTCTTAATCTCTGACAATGATACTGAACACCTTACATTTTATAGTCTCACTTTTTTTTTTTCCTTTGGGTAACTGCTGTGGTCCCCTTCATTCTGCCACAAGCAAAAATATCTTTATACTTAATTCTCCTATCTTTTCCTCCTCCATCATATGTGAGGTACAGGTTCTTGTGTAATAACAGCATTTTTAGAGAAGGTGCTTCACCAATCAGAAATCCTCTGTGCATAAAAATGTGCTATGGAGATCATTGCTCCAGAACAAACATATTGTATTCCGGTGATGGACTACACCTAATGCAGCTTTCCAAGAGCTATGGGCTTACACCTGCAATAAATTGAGGCTTCATATACAGTTGTAGCAATCTCTTTTACCTGTCATGTGTGATGATGGAAATGTAAAGCAAAAGCTTAGTTTAGAAATAAGGATGACAGGTGGGCCAGGGGCCAGGAAAGGGGGAGGAAGAGGAGGTATAGGACAGGTGGATATGAGCTAGTTGCAAGATCTGCATGGCCATGGCTTACCGGGTATCTGCCTGGCTGCTGAGGGCCTCATGCCCACGGAGCAACTTGTGCTGTAGTGTGCTCTGTGTTACAGTACTGACCTCTGGCACAGGCTTTATTTTGCAAGGGAAGAGTCAGAACTTAGACTTCACATCATGGTGCGGTGATGATGTAAATGCTGGTTAACAACCACCAGCCTTGGCACTACTGGCCTGATAACGATGGCTTTGGAGGGGTTCAGCCTGGTCTGGAAATCTTCCCAGGTTACTGGCTACTCTGCAAGGGGTAGTCAAAGTGCTAGTGGGGGGCTACCCTCGTGTGTCTGAGACCTGCTGTGTTAAATGTGCCCTGAGGAGAGGACTTATGCCTGCGGGCACGCTGTCAGGGAGACACCTAACCTGGCCTGAACACCTGGGAACTGGGGTACCCACCCATGACACATGAACTCCCAGTTCAGCTCCTTCCTTCTGCACCTTCTGCTGATCCACAGAATCTCTGGCCTCTGTCTCTCCCTCATGTGCTGAGAAGTACCCTTTCAGCTCAAGGCTCTTTGCAGCAGGCATATCCCAATGTCCCCCTGAAGCTGTTCCATTCTGTATAAAATCAGGTATTAATTGAAATGAAGTGTGAGAACAAACAGCCAGGCTTAATATCTTGCAGGGTCAATCATTTGCCTTCAGCCTCATCTTATGGCTAAACTGTTCCCACCCGACCACGCTGTTATCTGTGCCCTGCTCCCAAACACTGCGGGAGCCAGCATGCTAAACATCATGACCAAATTGAGCCACATTGAACACAAGGAAACAAAATCTTCCTACATTTCAGCATGGTGTGCCTCTCCTGGCAACCACACAAGCCACAGTGGTGATGGAGCTGCAAACTGCGCAATGGCAGGACCACCTGGCCAGCCCTCAGGAACCACTTAAGCCAGTGCCACCACTGAAGTTATAACCACATCCTCTAACTGCAAACCTGCCACTAATTACATCCCTGGGGATTGCATTCAGCCAAGCTGGTCAGGCAAGGATGTGGTTTGCTGTTCCCATCAGAGGCCGTGCACGAGAGCAGAATCTCTCCTTCACGTCAGTAGTTTCAGGCCATGAATGCCTATTCCTGTCCAGCAAGAGAATACTTGAGGTTTTCCTTATGCAGTCTTCTGGCCCTCAAATGCCTTAGGCATGTCAGAGAGGAGGTGCTGGGCATTGCTTCTCCCCTCACCTCTGCTTCTGGCTGCCTGGGACCCAGGCACTGCCAGCACACGCTGCAGCATGGTGGCCTTGGCTTCGTACTGCACCTATGCTATATGCCCAGAGGCACTGTGCTGGCCGCATCCTGTATTTCATAAATGCCTGTGCTCATACCTTGATAGCTTTCCCCAACTGCCTGCATAAATGTTATTTATGCAATTTGTCTTGGGCAGAAAGGACTGTGTGATTGCATACTTCAGATGTTCTTCCAAGCTCTATTAAAAAAACACAAGGTCTGCACCCACATCTGGTGCAACATCTGCTTGCGGGAAAACAAGTCTAGTGTCAGAAATGGCATTAAATTGTTTTGAGAACTGATTTAGTTGGCTAGCCTGGCTCAAATAAAGTATGAACAAAGATACTCTATGGAGTGGCTTACATATTTTGGATGTTAACAGATGTGCCCAAGGCTCAGGGAGACCAAAAGGTCTTGATAAAGCTCATACATGTTTGTGATGGCTTTCAAATATCTGTTAAGCAGAATGACTGTTGTCTAGTTCACTAAAGAGCTCTGCTCTGTCCTACAGATTAGGTCACCTGCTCATATCAATAATTATTTTTATCCTAAGTTCTTCAGGCTGTTAGGTGTAGTTTTATTACTTCATCTTAAGAAAGTTAAGCCCACCTGTTTCTGTAGCCACCATCCCTTTGAAAAGTTGGAGCAAAGCCTCAGTCAGTGTGCATTCAGAGACACTCCTTACTCCAGACCCTCTGCTTAAATGCCTCGGCACCTTGAAATCTAGAGCTGTACCATCCTTTTTTTCTACATACCACATCCCCAAATGATGGTACAAGCCCCAGAAAAAAAAAGCAGTAGCTGAAAGAGAGATTTAAAAAAAAAACAGGACTGTAAGTTTTGCCATTGTTCTGAGTAGGAGTCATCAAACTCAGACTCAGCTTGTCATCAGAAGCACATTCAAACTTCCATGAACAAATATGTCTCATGGTATTTCAGATTCAGCCTAGAATAAATGAAATCAGGTCTTTTTGGAACATCTGTATGACACTGCATGTGATCCTCTTTTAAATTTTAAGGTAAGTGAAATTTTGAGAGGTTGTCGGTACTCACCAGACCTCACTGGGCTAGGTGCCTCTAAGAGTAAACAGTGAGGTTTTGGCATCACTAATTTCCAACGGCAGGCCTGATTCAACCTCTGACTTAGGGTGCTCACTAACTTCCAGCAGCCCAGTGAGTGGTGTACCTGATCGCATTTTCCTCTCCTTTTCCTTGTGCCTCTGCCACCCCAAAGGAGCTGTGAGATCCTCAGCAAGGCAAGATGTTGCAGATCTGCTGATAAGCAGCACCTTGCTGGGCTCCCAGCTGCTGGCTCCCACTGAGTTTCAGGTCTGCAGAAACCAAGAGACTTGGTATTTCGTAGAGGTAAGATACTGTGCCTCCTACCATGACTGGGGTTCCTGGTATGTGCTGAGTTTGAGCCTGAGCAGACACAGGAGTTATGAGCGTTTCCTTGGGATGCTGGGACCTCCCAGCACCACACGGGCCATTCCAAATGCGCCTGCCTGAGCCCCTGGCCCTCCCTCACAGGTTACTTAGTATCACTCTTCCCAATAAATCTTACCTGGATCCAAACTTCTTCATTCATTGATGGGGTTATTTTAAAATACAAGAATTTTATTGATTAAAATTGTATAGGAAACCATTTTTGGAAACTGTCTTATTTCAAATGGATACAGTTAGAAATTATTTTAATGCGGCAGAGAGAAGGACAATGGACATGAAGATGCACCAGATGGGTACTGCTTGGTAAAGTTTATTTGAATAAGAGGGCTGGTAAGGTGAGCAGGCAAGCAACTTAGCAGTAAATACAAATCTGATTTGTCTGTTGCTTTCAGATATTCCCTGCTAATTTGATTATAGTAGCTTGCTAAATTAGTGTCTTTTCTCAGTAACTGCTCGTTATTCCACACCTCTCATTTTGATAGACGACTTTTCCTTTAACTATAACATAGTCAATCAATGCTTCATGTCCCCCAAACTGGTAAATCAAGTGCTCCCACCTAAAAAGACAACAAGATGTTTAAGAATATCCAGACCAGCATGACAGCAGGTCACATACCCAGTATACCTGGCAATTACAAAAGATTTGCTTGAACCATCGGAAAACACTATTCCATGTCTATATGTTGATCTCTTGTTGCATGGATACAGTGAGTTAGTGTACAAATCAGTAGAAAATTCCTTCTACAAAATAAGCAAGTATTATCTTTAGGGAATTTGTAGTTAGGCATAGATTATTTGTAATATGAGCCCCAAAAGTTTTAGGCTTTATTTTCCACTGGAGTGATTAAGGTGAATGAAAGTGGGTCTAAAATGCTAGCAGTGTCCCTTTTTTCAGATTAAAATAACTTCTAAAGCATGAGGCATTCACTAACCTCTCCACTACCCACAGTATGATGAAAAACAAAGTCCCTTTTGTTAAATCACATTTCAAACAACAATGGAAGAACAAACCTTGATGAATTTATGATAACAAGATCCCCCTGCTTGCCAGTCTCTATGGAGCCGTGAGTGTCCGATTTTCCCAGAGCATAAGCTGCATTAATGGTGGCAGCTGCTAGTGCTTCATTCATTGACATCTTCATGTTTACACAGGCCAGATGCATCACCATAGGCTAGTAGGCAAGGTAAGTGGAAAATGGGAGTTACCAGTAACACAAATAAAGCTGTCCGTGCCTCAAATCCCTAAGCACTCTCCCTCCTTGTGCAACAGAAGGAGTTGTCCTGTCTGATATAAATCTTGCCAATTACAAAGTGAGAACTCTAAAAATCAGAAACTTTGAAAGCCTTCTTTATAAGCCTTTTGGTGCATATGTGGAATAGAAGCCCTTCTGGTTTCAAGAGTTTCTGGCAAAAACTACCAACCCACATAAATAAACATGAGCAATTGTCTAAGCCGGGCATACAGATCTCTCTGCAGATGCGCTGATCACTTTAAGTGTGCAATACCTACGCACAAGTTGTACTGGTAAGAGATTTTATAATTTTATGTTGTTGTAAGTATAAGGAATAGCTTACCATTGAAAAACAGTACGCGTTAGGATTAAAGTCACTGCCAAGAGCAACTATAACTCCTTCTTCTAACATTTTTCTAGCTCGAGGTTGCTTCAGTCTAGTGAGAAAAAGACACTTGTCAGTACAATTCACTTAGTTATTACATGATGAACTGCAAGAGCAGAAGTCATCACCCGGTTTGGCTACATTCATACCTTCAGTTACACTAACTCTTTTGGAGGCAAAAGGCCAAATTCTCCTCTTGGCTCTGTACCTATCAATCATCCTATGGACAGTGTAAATGGGAACTGTGATCAACTGCTTTTGCAGCAACAGTGTGTGGCAGCAGCCAGTATCAAGCATCAGGCTCCAGGCCACTGAAATTCTGGTATTTATCCAGACCTCAGACACTTAAGGATTTACAAGGTGAAAATCTTCATTTCTCAAAAAAAGTAATTTTCTAGTCATTATAGCTTCAAAGACAGGCTTCCAAAGATGAGCAATGCAATAGTCCCTTCCCAATTCTGTTGGCAATTCAAAATGGTAAGTTGAGGCTGTGAATTTAATTTGTATACATTAGAGGATTTTCTCACTTAGCAATGTTAATGCAAAAGATATCTTCAATAACTTCAATATCTGGAATAGCCATTTCAAAATTGTTTGGCCACTGGATTAATCCGGGTAGGTGTTTGCAAAGGTGGGCACTAGGAAATACACTCCTCTAAGAAGAGTTAGCCATAATTGCTGTAAAGCCAATAGCGCCAAACATCGTGTCCAAAAATAAACCAGTGTAACAATGAAAATGAAACATTAGAGCAACTGCTGCTCAAAAAGGAGTATTAAAAGCACAGCAGTTACCAGAAAAGAACAGTAAATGCGATTTTGATGAAGTGCTTACATTTGGTATAAAGCAATCCTCTCTCTGTAGAGGCCTCTTAGCAGATTTATGATAAAATATCACCTGTTTATGCACAACACAATGTTCCAGGAGTTAACTGTGTTTAAAAAGATTTATCTGAAGAGCCGTTCTCCATCCTCAGGTGTCCTTCCAGCCTCTGCATCCCCTGCTGTGCTCTGCAGCCGGACTCCTTCAGAGCACTGCAGGCAACAGTCAGCAAGGGCCAAAATAGGAGTCTGCTTAACATTAAGCAACCCTCCAGCTGCATGCGCTGGCCCACGTCTGGCCATCAGGGGAAGCCCTGGCCACTACTGCTTTCTAAAAACCAGGAGACAGTATAGGGGCAAGAACCTCTCAAGGTCTGAGCTCTCACCATTAGCACTGAAGGAGCTGAGGGAGCAAAGGATGTATCACGTTGCCTCACGGCAACTTCGTCTTCTATGCATTGCACTGCTTTTGGTCTCCTGATGCTCTTTTAACCAGTGTCTCTAACATGGCTTTTTCATTTTTAGAGTGTACTAGACTGGGAGGCCTGTGTTCAATAAACAGTGCACCAGATGCTGGGACAAATGAGGCCTCATTTCCCACAGCTTGTTATTTTCCCCATCTTAGGCTTATCCTGGGGCTATAAACTTTACACAGTGTGAAGTCTCTAGAGTAACACGAGTTTCAGCTGCAGCCTTTTCCACAGGTGGCTGTATCTCTGTTGTCTCCTCTACCTCCCTGTCTGGGATCAGTTTGCAGGACCACAGGTCCTCCCTGAGATCTGTACTCTCATGGTGTGTGTAGTTGCAATCGGCCAGTGGTTCAAAAGCACTGGTGCAGGACACAGACAGACAACCACAAGTGGAAACACAAGCATGGACATAAACGTGAACACCACACGTGTGGCAATGGCACAAGCCCCGATGCCTCAGAAAGCGGACTGCTGAACATAAACCAAAATTAGCTCAAGCATCTTCTCTTACAGGAGGGAAGGTATTACTGGGTCACGGTCCTCATCATCTAGTTGGCATATTTTTGGCATTAGGGGTAAGCAGGTGATCCATCTATCCTTATCTCAAACATCTGGAAAATAGTGTTCTTAAGGTGATTCTCCTCAGTGTTGCCTGGGTAAATTCAGATGAGATTTAAAAAATGCTACCCACAGTCTTTCAGCATTTTAGATAACGAAGGGATTCATTTCCCAGCAAAACCTTCTGCAAAAGAGCAAATATATATATTGCAGATACAATTTGCCCTAAAAGAAGCCAATTCAGCTTTCAAAGGCCAAATGGATTAAAGGAAATCAGTCTAGTTTTCTTCTTAAATGAATGCCCAATTATCACCTTAGCCTGTCATAAGGGCTAAATTCCACTGATGACTGAACCACTCAAAATCTACTATGAGACTTTTCAGAAATAGGGTATTGCTTCATTTTTGAGGATCTCAACCAAAAGCAAGGCAGGAGTAGGCTCATTCAGCTCTTTGTATTAGTGACTGTCTTCATCAACCCAGCCTGATCCTCAAGGCATAGATACAAGCTTACGCTTTTACTTTAAAAGACCCTAAGTAAAACCTAATGGTTTTACTGTTGCAAAAGTTTTCCTCCAATATAGTGACCTTACCTTAGCATGTAGGCAGTTGTTGGTAAAAGGACAGCAGCACACTTAGCTCTTGCCATTGCCGTGATACCTTCATCACTAACTTCTTCCAGGTGGCTGATAGCCCGGGCTCCTAGTTCAGCTCCAAGCTAAGCAAATTTTCAAGAAAATTACTCACTGTTCTCGATAAATTCAGTAAAGCGGTGTCGTTATCAAATGACCGGAGGAGGAAGCAATTCACTATTAATATGAAATTAACTAAAAGAAAAAAGGATAACACAGTCTTGAAAGAACAAACCAAATGCAGAGACAAAATATTTGCTAATTTACTGCAGGAAAAGTTGATCACAAAAAGGTATCAACCATCCACTGAGTGGAAGCACACCTTCAGTGGTGTTTTCAACGGACTAACATGCAAACTATGGGACAGCTACGGATAAAACCATTATCCACTTCTGTTCACAAAGTATCCAGCAGAAAAGAGTTTACAAAACTGACACTGGTTGCAGAACTAGTAGGAGAACTGCTGCCTTCAATGGTGAAGCACCAAAACCACTTTTACGATCAATCAACTTTTTTGTTTGTTTTGGGTTTTTTTGTTTGTTTTTTCTACTACAGCAAAAAATAACTTGAGCAGACCCCACAGTAAGGAAGCAAAGTCTAAATGATGGTGAAACATGGTCTCAGAGTGACTTTCTTTATCAAGATATTTGGGAGTCTATTCTTGACTAAACCACCCCTCTGAGCGTGCTCACTGCATGCCTGACTTGCTGCTGCTAACAGAACATTTAAGGGAAAAAAAATTTCAAGTTGCGTAGAAACCATTTTTTTGTCATTCTTGGGTTCACAGATATTCACCTCCCCATCTGTATCCCATGTGGAAGATAAGCAAAGTCAATATTTGATTAGGCAGTGCGTGTTAGTCCCAGAGGTCAAGGCTTCCTCCCATGTCCTTAACTCCAGAGCCACACAAGGGCTGCACTTTCTATCGTCTGACAGAAATATAGAAATATATGTCTATGAATGGTTTATTTTATAAAGCCTTAGAAAAGAAAACCTTGGGTTTGAAAACTGCAATTCTTTCAAAGATTCAGCTCTCACAGAAGCAAAGCAAAAAGCAAAAATGCCTTAACGGAACATTAAGAAAGACGTACCTCAGCAGATTTCATCGGATGGAGTTCATCACCATGGAAGTTAATCTGTAACCCTATATCTTTTCCAGCTTGAAGAATTCTTCTAGTAGAATCCAGATCAAAGACTCCCTTCTCACAGAACACATCTATATTGTTAACATGTATTTCACCACTTAGTTGGAGTTCTTTCAGTTTAGGGAGATGGTTACTGATAATGTCATCTGTTGCTTCGGTAGCAGTTTTCCCCCTAATGAAAAGAAAATGTTATAAACCCGTAAGAATAACATCCTTGAAGTCTGGAAAACACTCAAATTGTACATGCAATTACTAGATTATTTGGAAAATTATGCAAATACAAATCACTCAAAAAACCTTCAGATTTAAAAATTTAAAACTACTGCAATTCATTTACTCTCAAAACCTAATTATTTTCCATTCAAAGAAAATCAGATTGTATTACTAGAGATTTTTTAAAAGGTTACCTTCTTTGATGCTCACCAAGATATGGGAATTTTGAAATTATTTCTTCTGCTTTCCTATTCATATATTCTGACCTACTTACACTGTATTCTAAAACTAATTTAAAATAAGAAAATTATTATTTAAATATTTTTAAATGTATTCATGCAATATTTTTATGTGAGTATCAAAGCTCAAAGGGGATGTGCAGCACAAATAATTATTTTAAATTTATCTCTCCTCCTCTCATATCATGCAGAATGATGGCTAGATAACTCTTTCTAAATCAGAGGGGCCTCCCAAGGTTCGATTTGCCAAAGTCAGAACCATTTAAGAACCCCCTGTTACACAAAGATAACCCAGGAGAGATCAGTAAATGCCTTTTGAAGAGTGAACAATCCCAAAATATGCAGCTGAGTTAGTATTTTGCAATTTTAAGATCTAAGGATAAGTGACATACTGCAGCTTGATGTCTGTGACACCTCAATCCTCATTTCGGGCACTGTAAGGCACGCATAGACCAGCATCATACGAGTGCCACATGCGGGTGAGTTGGGAGCTTTACAGTCGCAGTAAATTCAATAAATTGGATTCTGCTCTGATTTACAAACAGGTTGTGCAGTTACAAAGCAGAGCAAAACCCAGCTTATGGCCCTTCTTTTGTTCAGCTCTCACTGAAGCAGTCACTGGGGTGGCTCAGGCTTTTGCCAGGCCAAGCCTTCTCCCTTTTCTTCTTTTACTCAGAAGCCTTTGGAGGAATTTGGACTGAAAGATTAGGATCAGAGCCAAGACAAAACAGAGGGAAGCATTAAGTCTTGGTTTCACTTTTTGGGGGACATAATGCCGAAGAATGCAAAACTGCTGTTGTTTTAATGCACGGGACTTCTGCTCAGGAAATCACTTTGAAAATGTCTTCCTAAAGATGAAAAGGGCCCAGTGAACCCTTGCCAATAAAAAAAAAGCCCAACCCAAACCAAATTAGAATCAGACATCCCCAAAATCATGAACTTGATTCAAAATGATGACTAGAAGGATAACAGATCACTTATTTCTTTGTCACCTTGCTGTGTGCTTTTTAGGTTCACTTCCTAAAGAACTGGAGATACTCCGAGCCTGCAAGTTCCAAGGCTGGAAACATTTTTAAAAGCAATGGAGAGCAACAAGGATCACTATAAACAGAGCAGCCTTATTTTTCTCTAGGATGGCTCAGACTAAAGTAACCTGCACTGTTTGGTGGATACTTAGAATTATAGAATCATTAAGGTTGGA